TGTCCACAAAAACTGCAACATCCTGGTAAGAATGATATTATTCCCACCAAACTTGGACTTGCTGGGCTGTCCATAAACATAGCTTCTTTATTTCCCAATCACAGATATTATTCTCTCAAAAAAACCTACGGTTCTTATAAAAAGGCTAGAAATCTCAACTAGAAGGAGGAGGCACCCTAGAAGGGACACACGGAGAAATGGTCAAGAGAGAAGCAGGATGAAGAGCAGGCAGTTTGGAGCCGTTGAGTGCTGACCACATGCAGAACCAGGGAAGGTGGCCCTTGGCACCAACACCTTCACTGATGTCATGATGACCCAACTCCCTGTGTGCAACACATATCCATGGAGCCCCGCACCAGACCCTAAGCTGAGGACACTCTTTTGCACCAGACTTAAGCCATGCTCTCCAAAGACAGGAATAGGGGACAAGTAACACACAAGAAAATCTCATGCTATTTCTACCCTTTGGAAACAAGACATGTGGTAGGGACACCCAGCTGGAAAAGCTGTGTGCCCAACCTGGAGGAAGACAAAGCCAGAGGGGAACCTGGAGAGGTGGGCAGGGCTCTAATGGAAAAGACCTGCACTCTGCTGCCACGGGGCCATGTAGACTCCACCTGGCAGCCATGGGAGTTCCCGAAGAGATTCTGCAAGGGCAGGTCCAGGTGGAAGGATGCTTCCAAGGTCACAATGTGAAGAAGTGTCCTTCCTTCAAGAGTACGAGTCACAGAGAGCTTCTACTGAGGCCAACCTGCGCCCTGCTTTGGGGCAGCACGTTGACACTGGAAAGGATCAAGAAGATAGTCCAAACAGAAATGCCAGAAAAACAATTTCTTTCCCTGAAGGCCAAATTCATGAGCTTGCACTGCGCACTAGGCAACACTGCCTTTTCCCACCTGCAGAAGCTCAGCTGCGTTGACCAGGGATATAAATCAGTCCTGCATTATACTACATTCAGGTGACACCATTAGCATTCTTCCTGGGTATAACGTCTCCCAGCAGCATTTCAAATCCATCATGGACAGTTCAAGACAATCAGTGATCTTGCTGGGCATGGTGGCACACGCCTGTAATCCCAGCACTCCTGAGGCTGAGGCAGGAGGATCACTGTGAGTTCGAGACCAGCCTAGGCTACACAGTGAGTTCCAGGTCAGTCTCAACTACATAGTGAGACCCTGTCTCAAAAAAAAAAAAATGAAAAAACAATTAGTGATCAAAACATCACATGGCAACCTCCGAATATGTACCATTACCATGTGTCAATTTAAAAAGAAAAGCGGTAGACAGACTCAAGAGAGTTGATCCTTTGGAATGAACCATAGAAATGCCCCACACTCAAGCAGATTTTCTATAGATGTTTTCTGCAGTTTTGTTTATTCATACACCATCTCTTTCCAAAAGAATCAAAGCCACCTAAAAGCACAGACAGAGTATAATATTCTACCAAGTGAGCAAATATGGCCCTCGGATCCATACACATTATCTGAATTGTTTTCTATAAAGTAACAAATCAGGACAAAGAAAACATAACCATTACAATTTTGGGGGGTAATTGAGTGTACTGGGAGAAGGAAAATTAAGGATAGGAAATACAAGACAGAGAATGATGCTGAAAGACACAGCCCTACCCTTGCCACAGGTTGCAGAGGGAAGCACTCTGTTGCAAGGCCATGGTCTTCCAGAGATATTTAAAAATAAACAAAAAGAAAAAGGAAGCTGTTGTTCAGAAGAAATGAAAATATCTTTGTTCCTGAGCCTGGAAAGAAAGTTCCCCCGGGACTGAATAAATATTAGTTCTTTATCCTGTACCCTTGTTTGGAACCCCAACCTCCTCCCGGGCCCAACACTCCTGCCTCAGCAGGGCACATGCATAAAGATGGCACATGCTTTTTCATTATCATTAAACCATAGCACACATGCATCAGAGTGCACAAGTGTGCTGTTCAGAGGTTTGCACAAATATGCACGTGTGCTGGCACCCACATCAGGAGCAGCACTGCCAGCACACCTGAGCCTTGTCCCCATCCCCCCACCCCCACGTAAACACTTCCCAGACTTCCAAAACCATAGACTGGCTTTCCCTGCTTAGGGACTTTACATAAATGGAAACTCAAAGCATTTTTTCACTCAAGCCTGTGTTTGTGAGTTGTCCACATCCTTGCTCATAGTTGTAATTCAATCATTCACGTTGCTGTTGAACATCCAGTCATGTGACTCATGTCAGTAAACAGGTGTGTCCGTTCTTGGTCAGGAAAATAAAGAGGATTATGGGTTGTATGTGGTATTTTTATCTGAGTTAACTCTTAATTAAGTGCTGAAATTTAGGGGATGCCAATATGATTTTGCTAATTTTTAAAATTAGACTCCAATGCAGCCTCTTTTTGAAAACCATCAGTCTGGCTGGCAGCTGACATAATTCTGAACACTGAAACCTATTTTTTGTAACTGAAAATATTTCAACCCTGTGGCCATGGGAGTAAAAAGCAAATGGAAAAGCCATAAGAAAGATTCTTTTGTTTGCTCTCATTCAACATTTGCATAGGAATATTTGAGAGAGACTTCACTAGGTGTCAGGAACTGTACTAAACACTTTAACCAGACTGTATCACTCAATCCCAAAAGAACCCTGTGAAACAGTTACGTGTATTGCTCAGATTTTCCAAGCATTGCTTGTGTTGTCCAGTTCTTCATTCTCAGATTTCAGGCCACAAATCCTCTGTACCCCTTTAGTGCCCTCAGAAAGACCTTGAGACAAATCTCCCTCTTTGCTAAGGGTTCATCACCTTAATACTGCCAACAAAGGACCAAACTCTGGAGTATGGCAGACACATCCAAATGAAAGTCCAAGCTTACCAAAGGATAAAATCATGAATATCACACTAATATAAAATGAACATGTCAAAAGACTTTATTTAACCCATTGATGAGGGAACCATTAAGATGTTATACACAATTCTATTGGGAATCCACATAGCATGCACACATGTGTAGCTGGGATCCCATCCTCCCTACGAGATATCAATTCACCTCACCCACCTCACTTCACTTGCATCTTAATGGACAAGAAAAGTCTGAAAGATGACTAGTTTTCTAGGCCCTACAAAATAGTATAATAGCTCAGAGATTATGATAGATACAAACCCTATAAAAAGATGGCACCTAATATTAACCTAAAAGGAAAACTGATAATCTTTTTGGTCTATTTTTAAGTCTACCAGTGCCTGGTGAGGGCCTTCTGGCTGTATCACAACATGGCAGAAGGAACTCCACACATGGGTTTGGGAGATGGACAGAAGGGAGTTAAATTCATCTCTTGGTTAGAAGTCCACTCTAGCAATAACTAATAATAATGGCATTAATCCACCTGTAAGAGCAGGATCTTCATGATGACCTGATCCCCTCTCAGGACTGCTGCATTGGGGATTGAGTTTCCAGCACGTGAACTTTTGAGGAACACATCCAACCCACAGTATCACCATACAATTTCCCGTAAGCTCCCCTCTCCGGCCTTCCTACCTGACCCTTAGCCAAACAGACACTACAACATGTGTGCTTCTCTGCTACCCAAAAAATGCCCTTCCTGTAAATCTGATCCCATACAGAGAACACCTCAAAGACATATGGGCATACCCATTGACATAAAGAATAATCATGGACATGCACAAACTTACCGTGAGGATTTCTACTGCAGTGTTGCCTACAAGTGTGGAAAACAGACAAACTAAATGCCCAGCAATAGAGGACTGGTTAACTAAACTATTTATTGGAGGTATCAGGGCCATGCTAGGCAGCCATCCTAAGTAGTACATAGGGGAGATGTGGGGATGTCCTGGTCAGCAAGCTCACTTCATGTAGGGATATTTATAGAGTGATGTAACTAAAAGGAAATTTTAAAAAGAAAGATCAATATTAATAGCGGCTGTTTTCATTTTCTTCTTCCTCTTTGTATTGTTTTCCAAGTATCCTATGCTATTATATTTTTGTGAAAAGATAGGTGGAGATAGATGGATAGGTGGTCAGATAGGTCAGCAAACAGGCATAATCCAACTCTATCAGCACTGCCAGGGCCCCCGGAAACCAGTTCCGGGTCCCAGGAACCAAATGATCTGCCAGACCAGTGATGTTTGAGTGGAAGACGGAGGGAAATGAACTCTTTAGGGCTGAAGCCTTCTAAAAAGGATGCCACCACTGCAACAAAACGTACATGTGTAGTCTTGCCAACAAGGATAGTTTACAGGCAAAAACCTGAACAACCACAATACCCAACCTGCACGTAAGGACCAGCGAATGTCTGCTTAGGAAGACCAAGGTCATCCCTTGTGCACAGTTTGAGCCTGGGAGACTCAAGAGCCTCCAGTCCTTGCTCTCTGCCCTGCCCTGTCTCCTCTTTTCTCTGGTCTTTCATTTGTTCATCCATAAAACAAAAGGACAGGGTGAGACAAAGGGCCTCTTGGGTCCCCTTTCTCAGGACCCTGACAGAAGTTCCCCTTCATTCTGGTTCCCTCACCTCTATCTTGCAGACGTCCCTGTGACAGCCAAAGATGAACTGGGATGGCCAGTCTGAATCGTGGGAGGGGAAGGCAACAGAATGAACAGTTGCCGAGAAGGACAAAGGGAGGGGTCCTCACCCACCAAGGCCTTAATCACACAGCTGCCCCTTCCTGCCCCCAGGGAAGCTTGCACCAGGGTGCCAGGAAGAGCTGGGCAGAGTGAAGTTTGTCTCCATCGAATCTGCTCTGCCCGAGCCGCCCTGCAGGACTCTCACTTGGCTTCCACACCACTCCCAGGGCTCCTCTGCTTCCCCGAGGTTTCTTGTCAACAGGCTCAACTCTTAGTCATCATGTTTAACTTTTGAGAATCACTTTCAAGTAGCTTTTGCGTTTTGAAACCGGGACTTGAGCACCCTTATCTCTTTAAACACCATTTCTCTCATCAGTAAATTGGGAGGGGAAAGATAGGAGAGGTAGGTAACAGTGTAGTTCATCCATTCATCAACTCACCCGAGGCCCCAAAGCAGGGTTTGGGCAGAGCTGGTTCTGGAAGTCAGGTCCCTTCCCCAGGCCAAGAATCACCCCAGAGCAGGCCTGTGTCTGCCAGGGCCGAGCTAGGCAGAGGGCACAGGGTGGGCAGGGTGAAGGAAACAAGCCTGCTGATCACTCAGTGGGGAAGCTTCAGCCAGGACTAGGGGGCGCCTGGCATCCCACAACTCACCTGCAACTAGGAACGGGAGCCCCTGCCATGCTGTACCCGTCTGCCGCCCCCACCTGCCATTCTGCCCTCTGCTCACTCACTGACCCTGACGTGGTCCCCCTGCCCCCTGCCTCTGTCCAACCTGTCCGGCTGTCCTTCCCTGACATCTGGTCAGTCCACCCCGCTCTGCTTGCGTGTGTACGTCCGTTCTCCGCTCCGGTCCGTGTGTCTGTCCCCCCCTCCTCTGACTGGAGCGTCGGCCTCCTCGCCGCCCTGCCCCGCCTGCCGCCG